GCTGAGGCCTAAGGGGTACCGGCGCTTCATCAGGTGGTGCTTCTGGTACATGACTTCTTTGCAAATGGAGTGTGTGGAACTGGTTTTGAAACGCCAGACCGTAACCGTGAATGCCCTTACTGAGGCGTGAAAGGTGTTGTCTAACAGGACAGTGGGCCGGTTTGAATGGTGTGTTATTCAGGTGCTTTTGTAGATGGTAAAACTATGAAGTGAAAAGGGAGAGTAAGCGAGGCTCTTGCCCAGTGCTTTTCAGTGCTAAGGAAGCGTTGTATTCTTCCTTCAGATACCTTCTTAAAAAAGGGCTCTGCTACTCTGGACAAATTAAAGGACCTCTGTAACGAAGGGAAAGAACATCCTTCTGTGCTTTTGCAGCTCTATGCGCAGGTAGTGTATGTAAAGCATTAAGAACAACCTTTCAAGAAAATGGACTGTTAGGGAAGAGGGTAAAGCAGAAAGGGATCTCTGTTACTTGGGTGTGTGGAGTCAACATCCATGAAGTGCAGGGCTGTTTTTTTTCTGGACTAGAAGATAAAGTTGATAATAATTGTACAGGTACTGTATGACAGAAAGGGATTTGAGTTCACGTTCACTGTCAACAGTCTTACTATACGTGCAGCTTACTAAACTTGCAGCTTTTGTAAACTAAACGTTAAAAATTACTTTAAAATGGTAATGTTTTATAAACAGTAGCAAGTTTTTACTTTACTGCACACCACTATGATTATTTTACTGGTAGCATTTTTACAGTGTGTACCTTCTTGTTTTCATAGGCTGTCTTAGACATCACATATTTTGAAGAAAACCAGCTTGTGGATGAAGATTTTCCAGAAGAATCTTCCCTGCAAAAAGTTCAAGAACTTACTTGCATTCTTTCAGAACCAGAACGCCTAGTGAGGGAATGCAACATAAATGAAAAAGTGAGTACTAACAGTATTCAGTCAAAGAATTAATTGTTTCATCATTTAAAAATAAAAAGAACTGAGATACGATAGTAGTATTTTTATTTTCGATGGGCAGAATTTAAGATATTTTGAAAAATTTTCAAGTCTTGTATTTAAATAGTGGTTACTGAAAATATTTTTTCAAATAATGTGTTGCATTGTCATAATTTTTCTTGCTAACATTTCATGATTCAATGTGCTTTTGGCAGTTTAAGTCCTAAGTATTAGGCTTGTGCCCGTGACTGTTGATGTTAAGTACAAGATCTAAAGTTAGACACTTAATATAACACTGTTTGCTTGTGTGAGTGTGTACGTGAGCAGTTCAGATGGTTTACTTTTGGGTTAGCCCCATTTATTGGATTTTATTTCAGCCGATCAACATCCTTGGTGCAGAGTTGTTAGAGTGCCTTTACTGGAGAAAAGGAGCCCTGCTTTACATGTATTGTCATACAGCAAAAGAAAGGAGAGAATGGCTACGAGGAAATGTTGCCATATTTAAAAAGGTAAGGAAGATTACGAAGTTCTATGAGCGTGTGAATACAGTTTTAAAGTTTGACGTCACTTTAAAATGGAGCTTTTGTTTTTCCTTTTAAATAGGGGCTTGGGAAATTCATAGTAAGAAGTATTTCTGGCTATCATTAAATTACTTAGAACTTCTCTAAAAGTTTTTTTTCCCCTCATTTTTTAACTGTACTCAGTTTCTTAATGATGGAGTTCATTACTTGATGAAGATGCTTAGCTTGAGATGCCCTCTTCAGCTAAATGAAGATGTCTCATTTCAAGATAAAGACACAGCTAGATTACTCAGTGAAGGTAAAAAAACCCCCAAAACTCCAAAACCCCTACAACTCTCTCCTGTTAATAACTGTTCCACTTTATGAAATGCTTTATTGCGTGTTTCTGCTGTTTGACTTCATTTGTATTAAAAAAAACTGCCACTTTTTAGAACAACAACAAAAAACAGATGAGGCAGATAAACAGGCAGCAATGCTTTCCACTCCCCCACACTTCTTTTTGACTCCTGGATTTTAGGATGTGGCAGTGCTCATTTTCTCTATGTTTTTGAGTGCACTGGAGGAAAATGAACTGAGGCAATGGATGTTTTATGCACAGTGTGTGTGCTTTACAGCCATCCAGTTGTCAATTGGCAAGTGTTGAAAGCACAAATATGACTGCAGAGGGTGCTAGAAGACTATGTTAGTCTTCATGTTTAGATCTAGGAGAACACAGAATTACTGACTTCACACAGGTAGAAAGTACATGCAGAACTGGTTAGATATGACAAACTTCCATTCTCTCTGTCCTCACTTTATGTAGCTTTGCGTAGCTTTATGTAACTTGCATTACTGTAGTACATTTATATGAGGATCTGAGGCTGCATCAGTGTGATGCAGGTAGGATGGTGCAGTAGGAAGGGGTTTTGCAGGTAAAACTGCTGGTGCTGAGGACGTGACGTACACATTATACGCACTCAAAACTAGTTCTAGCTATGGGGGGATGGAGCACCTTGCTTAGTTTCATGTGAAAGTGGCATTGCTCCAATTCAGCTTTACAACACAATGCCAAGTTCAGTAACAGATTTGTAGGTTTATTTAGCAGGAGGTTTTTTTTCTGTGACCGTGGACACACATACATGGCTTTCTATTCAAATATTAAAGCTGCTGCTGGTTAACCTGAGTTAAGGTGGTGCTCAAGCAGCATTTTTTTTAGGCTTAAATTGGGGGAGGCACAGAAGTATTCTAAAATAAATATGAATAATCATGCCTGTGCTTAATGTATTGTAAAGAAATACTGAAATTCTCAAAGATAAATAGGCAAACACAGTTATCAGAATAATATTTATATGGAAATCTGAAAGGTTTTAGCACTATGGAGAGGCAAAATGGATAGAATAATGAGCAAGGCCTTGATCCAGGTTCTCTTCTGGGCAGTGTCAGTCATCTCATGGTTAAAATTTGTTTTTTTAATGTACCTCTTTCATAGGCTTATACTGCCTTTTTGGAATTTTTTTCCAGTATTACTGAAAAAAATTTTGAAGTTAACAAGCTGTGTACTTGCATATAACAGAACAATAAAGTACTTGATCTGACTTATTTTTACAGGTATATTTAGTGACACTCACTTACTGGCAATGATGTACAGTGGAGAAATGTGCTACTGGGGACTACAACACTGTGGAGAAGGGAAGCAAGAAATCCTTGGGACAACAAATTCTGTGTCTAACAGTGACCTGGGCTGCGGATCACAGAGTGTGTCGCTGGATTTCAGAGAAACGGGCAAAAACATGTTAACAAAGTATGTGGCTGTATGTGAGGGACCTTTAAATGGCCAAGGGTGGAACACAACAACTGCAAAACAAATGTTGTGTTACTTCGTGAAATCCCCCAGCTAAAATATGCTACTTTGGCTGTGCTGAAAGAAACCTTGTGTCTGAAGAGCACGCTTAGGGACGTGATCTCTGCTTCAGTGTCTGACTGTTGTTCTTATCAAAATGTATTCTTTTGTTGCATTAAAAACATGCATTCAGAGAACTTCTGGAATACAGGTCCAAAGTCTAATCAAGTCTTTCTAGAAAAAATAATAAATGACTGTGTCATAAACTCCACGCAAGGATGACTACGTGTCTCTCCGCCCTGCTGGCGCCGACGCACTGGATCAGAGGGGCGGTGGTGACGGCAGCAGGGCTCAGTGCCATGGCGGCTGGCAGAGCAGAGGAGCGGGGCGGTTTGGAGGCGGCTGTGCGGGGTGGACTCCGCATCCTCCGGGAGCGATGGATGCGGGGGACCCGTGAACACGGCGGTACTGCCGTATTCACGGGTTCCCTGCATCCATCGCTCCCGGAGGACGCGGAAGTGGTGAGTGCCCTGCAGGCGCTGCCGGTGAGTGGGGCCCGGTCAGGGTGGGAAGCTAGTCATCCCGCCTCTTGCATTTCCACTTCTTGGTTCCTGGGTCGTTAAACTGCTGCTCTTGGTGGTTTTCAGATTGATGTGCAGCTGAACATCATGTCCTTCCTCTCACCCCAAGATTTGTGCCGTTTGGGAAGCACGAGTTGTTACTGGAGGGCGGCTGTGCAAGATCCATTGTTGTGGAGGTATTTTCTCCTCAGGGATCTCCCCTTTTGGACATCCGTTGATTGGAAATCACTCCCAGATGTGGAAATTTTTAATAAAGCCTTTTCAGAAGACAGTGATAATGCGCTGTATGATTACATGACAGTGTAAGTATCTTCATATTCTCTTACATGACTTAGTAATATCCAGCCCACGGGCATGTGTCATATTTACAGTAGTAAAGCTGTGCTGTAAGCCACTGCTTAAATTTTGATGTGTCTCAAATCCATTGTTTATTTTGGAAATTAAACTTTGTGATGTTTGACAGTTTGGTCAGCTCTTTCTGTTTGGAATTCAGGAAGGATGTAAACAAAAAAAGTCAAACAAAAAATTAAAGCTTTTTGTAAATTGCATGTCTGCTGTGCCACAGAAATACAGTCATTTTGGAAGGTGTGCATACTGTTGATCTTGATAAAAAATGTGTTCTTTGCTCTCAGTACAATGGCAAATGATTTCTTACCTTAACGAAGGTACTAAGGAGTCTTCAAAGTACAGCAAATGGAATGAATCTCTTTCCCCCACCCCCTCCCTTACCTGGAAGACCTAGGGGAAAAAAAGTGCTTTTTTTTTTTTTTTTTGCATTATGCACAGAATAACAAGTGGTATTGCTTTAGCTCTGGTCAAAGGCCATAAGACCAAGACTATGGTTTCAGCTAGTATAGTTGAAAAGTGTAGCAACTCTCATAATGTGTTTGGTTAACTGAGAGCAACTCTTAAGACAAGCGGATTATTCTGTGGGTTTGTTTGTTTTTTTTTTTTTTAACTTCATTCAATTCCCTTAATTAATTTGCAGGTTGGTTTTTTTTTTTTTAAATTTGTAGTTAAATTTTAGAAAGGTGATTTCATGAAACAGTTTCTTCATGGTGAGTGCACTACTGACCTCTGCAATCTCTGTGCCCTTCATCCCCACTTTACAGATGGGAAAGACACACCCAGAATTTGAAGTGCAAAATATCTACTAATTTTGAACAATGGATTTAAATCTCTAGGTCTGAATACTTCAGAGCATTAGTTATTTGAGAGCACCTGTCACTGATTTCCATTGTGTCTGTGAGCACTCGTGGTTTTGCTGATCTCAACTGAAGTATCTAGTTGGGTTGTAAAGGAGCACACATTTAATGTTTCCTTGCAGTGGTTTGTCCAGCAGCAGCCTACTGTGACCACAGAAGCAAAGACTGAAGCTGCTTCACTAGGATGACTGTTACTTCTATGACTGTTACTTCTTTCCCTTGATTACCAAAGACTTTTCATGCCTTCCAGCTTCTGCATCAAGTGAGCACATAAGCATGCAGACAACATCTGTCTCATTTCACAACATGCATTCTCTGTGCCTACAGGGGATATGGTCCTTTTCAGGCAGAGTTATCTGTTTCATAGTTAATAAACACAAAAGTGGTCTAATTGAGGTTTGAAACACACTCCAAAGTCTCATATTTTTTTATACTGTATTTGACTCATCAGCTTTGATGTTATTTGACCAATAGTGTGTATTCAGTGAGGATGGGGGAATGTGTTGTGTTGTTTTGTTTTAGTTTTTAATGTAAACAAAAAAATCCATATATATAAGTGTAGAAAGGTCCAAAAAGTCAGCATTTGGACTTTGAAAGGACTGATGCCTTTACCTGCTTTGTACTGGTGCTTGAAATAATTCATTTGGAACTTTATCATTTTTGACCTGTGCTTGAGTTGTACCAGTAACAGAGCATGAGAAGTGTGGGACCTAAATCAATTTATGTTGATTGATTAATACCTCTTTTGTATTTTGTGTTTAATTTCTAGTTGCATCTATTTTACACAGATATAAAAAAAGCTGTCCTCAGAGTAGAAGAAGTTTGAAATCAAGCCGTCCCCGGTATGGGGCAGTGACTTCCTTTTTGCAATCACTGGTCACTCAGGCAGAACCTCGCTTTGCAATGTTTGGGCCAGGTTTGGAAGAGCTGGATGACTCTTTAGTGCAAAAGATGATGACATGCCCAGAAATTCTGCTGGTAGCTGGCCTACCTCAAAGACAAATTCACGGTAATGCTGGTTTTGGTTTTTGGCTTTTTTTGTTTTGTAAACAGATATACCACAAAAAACATTGGGGGAGAAATAGAGAAAAGGGATGCTTTTTTCTGCTCTTTTGTCTCAATAGCACAATGGTTCAAAAAAAAAGTATTTTCTCCCTTTGTGTTTATTCAGAGGGATAAATGCAATGAACATTTGGGATAAAATTATAGTTGCAATGAATTTATGATTAAATTTGCACAGAGGGATGATTTTGCTCCTTATACTTCTATTTTGATCCTAAATTCCATGTCATACCTGCTGTTGTAATGAATAAAGGCAGACAGAACTTTCTTTAGATACTGCTTGCAGTAAGCATCTAAAAAAGACATTTGTGTTTTTACACAGGATTTCGAGACTGATCCTTCATATGATTCAGTCTTGTGGTGTCAAATGGTGTAAATTTCATTCAGAAGAGTTATAGGAGCAGTTGAAGGATTTTTTTCAATGTTTAAAACATAGTTTTGAACATCTCTAATTTCATTGCAGTCCAAATCAGAGATAAAAATGGATTACTTTTTAACTAATGTTTATTTCAGCACAGCAGAACTGAAATAATTAAATTGTATTTATAGAAAGCGTGAAAACGTGATTTCTTAGTGTTTTTATCTTTTTTCTCTTATGTCCTTTTCAATTGCTCTGCCAGTTTTGCTAATACATGCAAGTCTAGCTCCTTTCTGACTTAGGTTTCTAGATTCAAGTCTAAGTATCGGAAACATGGAAATGCCTTGTTGTTTTCTTTTAGTACTATTGAATTGATTTTAATTAAATTAATAGTCTGATCAATTAGAGCACATATAAAATTTAATCATAAAACAGTAAATGTGCTACCCCTTACAGCAACACCTAGGCTTGTGTATGTCCGTTTTATAGCACCATTGGAATTTTCAGCCTACCACTTAGTTATATTCAGTAACCAAATAGTTGTAATCTCATATATTAATTTTTTCCCTGTAGGAATTGGATCAGGAGTCAGTTTTCAGTTTAATAACAATCAAAAACTCAATATTCTGACATTGTATTCAACCACCAGGTAAGATTTGTTCTCCATCAAAAACCAAAAAGTACAGTTTCTCGGTTATTTCATACTTTTCCTCATGTCTTTGTCATGTGATTTTTATGGCTGCATTCACATGCATGGATATCCCTTATAAACTGAAGCTTCAATGGGTATCTTCACTTTTTCTTTCCTTCTCCAACTGCTAAATTTTCACGTGAAAATAATAAACTTTTCCCAAACTTTATACATAGCAAATTTGTGTGACAAATACATAATAGATGCTTCTATCCATCTTGATACCTTGATTGATTCTTTTTTGAAACACTATATAAACTCATCCTGGGGTATACTCTCATATGCATCTTGCAGATTGCTAACCATGTGTATATGTACACTAGAAAAGAAGGGTGGGCAGGAGATGGCGGGGAGAAATGAAATGCTTTTGCTGGCTTGGATCATTTTCATGTCCCTTTCCTGTGCTTGCTAGACTCTCAAAATTGAGTTTTTGCTTTCTCAGTTAACGTGAATACTGAAATATTGAAATATCTTTCAGTGTGGAAAGGAGGAGAGCAAGGGCAGAGCAAGCTGTTGCTGTGAATAAGATGTTCTACCAAGAGAACACCATAGCAGGGGATCAGCAGGCCATGCACTACAGTGTAATAGCTCAAGTTAAAAAGGTGTGCGAAGTAGTTGATGGATTCATTTATGTTGCTAATGCAGAAGCTCATAAAAGTAAGGGGTTTCTCTTTATTTATTTATATTTTATGAATGATTGGAATGTCATAGAAGATTGCAAAGAATATGCAATACATCAAAATCCATGTTCTTAGTCTTTCAAAATCTGCTTCATTAGTGCTATTTCTTCATGGCTTATCCAGTTGAAGGGGTCCCCTATTCTAGTCACTGTCCCTCAACTGCCTGTGAGGTGTTATGGCCCCCTTCTTTCATTTATGGCAGGTACTGATGCAGTTGCTGTCTAAGCTACATGTGGGAAATCATCTGGATTTGAAAAACAAAAACCAAAAAAAAACCCTGGGCCGGGGTAGAAAAGGAAGCCTGAAATGCATTAGGGGTGGTGTAATAGCCTGGAAACAGAACCTTCACCAGGAAAACTGCAGTAAAAGGTGCAATTAGTCCAAATCAGGATACCAATTCAAGTCAGGAGACTAATGCAAATACCTATTACGGTAATTGTCTTTACATCCACCAACTTTAAATGGAAGGAGAGGGCTAGCTCAGAACAGAAGAGGGTAAAAAAAAATGTACAGGAATATAGTAAGAAGAAAAGTATGGTCAGCAGGGAAGGGCTGTGGACTGTACAGTGTGTGAGTATTTCTTAAGGGCTTGTTGCAGTTTTGATCTCTGTGAGGTACTTGGAAAATGTGCTGATGTTAAGAACTGGAAAAAGCTGCCTGTAGAATCTATGGAGATATTTAAATAAGATCTAGAACATCTTATGAACATCTTATGAACATCTGTGTGACATGAATCCAGACCCTCCAGCCTTGAGATAAGCAGAACTAGATAATTTGGCTATGTCCCTTCCAGCCCTGTGTTTCTTCACCTTTGAAATCTTAAATATTTGAAAAGTATTAAAAAAAAAGTTCTCCTTGGGATTTGCATATATTTAATACTCGTATATTAAAAATTGTTTCTTAGAGCATGATCGTCAAGAGGAACTGGCTCGTATTTTGGCAATGATTGATCCATCCCTTGGGCCTCCAAACAGACCTCTGCTAGTTTTGTCTTGTGTCTCTCACGTTGGTGTGAAAAGAATTCCGTGTGTTTACATGGCACATCAGTTGCAACTAAATCTGCTACGTCAGCCCTGGATGGTACTTGCTTTTAAATCTTTATTTTCTGTTTCTTTGTGGCTTAAATTTAATTTAGGATTGTGGTAGTTCCTGAACTGTACCTACCTAAGCAAGTGTGCAGCTTTCAACGCTAGTACGTGAGCTCTCCACTTAAGTGAAGAATTTAGTTTCTCTGGTCCTCTAAGATGAAGCATTAGCCTGTCTGAACATAGAGCAGCTAAGTGGCTTGCCCAGGAACACACAAGAAACTTCAGATGGAGTCAGAACGTAAGGAAGGATGAAATGCTGGTCTTGAAGGAAATAAGAAAGCTTCAGTTAATTTAAATCTAAATTTCGTGAGTCACAACACGAGGCCTTGGACACAAGGTAGATTTTCTGCCATTTTCAGGAGACTGTTAATTGTCACTTCTTGACGTGATGAATTGAGTTTTTGACAAATGAGGTTTTACCTAGCATGTGAGGTCCTGAACCTATTCTTTTATGCTTGCCAAGCACATTATATATCAGTATGGCTCAGCCACACATAATTTATTTTTGGTGACATTGTGTAGCCAAAGAATAGTACTTAATCAGAAAAAAACAAAATCCTGATTTGAGATAATTCATTTGTTTTCATAAGGAAAATGTTGGCAGGCTTTTTAAAAAAATATAGTTTATAATAGCCATTTTATAATACATTACAAAATCTAAGAATTAATAATATGCATTGAATTCTAAAGCTAGCAGGATTTTTGCTTTAAGAGTTACAAGAAGAATTTTCAAGTAGATTCTCATCCATAGAGGAAGTATAATGTTCCAGAATAGCTGATGGAACAATTGAGATAAAATTCACTTTGATACTAAGAATGCAAGGCTTTCCTAATGGTTCTTATAATTAATTTTGTAAAGAGTAGTGTTTTCTTTTTGTACCTTACTCTTAAGAACACAATTTTGTCTAAGAGACCTTTAAACCAGTGATAAAAATTTAGTTTTGATATAAGTATTTCTGACCTTAAGGATAGACACGGAGTGTTATCTCTAATACCTGAGCTTTTTTTATTTTTACAGGTGCAGGACACTGTAGCTGCAACTTTAGCTGGATTGCTAAATGGAATTGAGTGGCTCCTGGAAGAAGCAAATTGTAAAAATGCACAGTAATGGAACCATGCATTGTTTTACTATATAGAGACTTTGGTGTTTTGCAGTTCAGATGAAGGGAGAATCTTGTCCTGACAGAGCGCTGTCAGAAGGCAGATCTAAAAGGCAAAGCTGTATACATTTCACTGCACTTACTTTAATGTTCTTCCGACTGTAGTCCTGAATTAAAAGTACAAGTAGGATTGCCTGGATTACAGCAGCTATGAAGAAGTGATTTTGGGGGGCAATCTGGGTGTTTTGTTTTTTTTCTTTCTTTCAAGCTGGGACCTTTAGGGTGCAATCTTTTCTCAATATATCTGATAATCTAATCTCTGTAAATATACCTAACACTAGGCTGGTTTATCAGCACAGCCCTTTGGCATGCATCGTGTATTTAGTAAGCGTATTCAGGTGAGATCTTGACAGTGACAGTTCCCAATCAAAGTAAATATACTGTATGTTGTACAGTAGTAAGTTGACAAAAAGACAGTATCTTTTTCAAAAGAGTAAATCCCCCTGTATTTTTCCCAGAAACAGTGCCTATACAAGAAATAGCACCTGTGGGAGAATTGTCAGCCCAGACCAAAATTCTTAGAAGCAAACAAACAAACCGCCACATATGAATGGGTTGTTTCTTGTTTGTGATCTTGTGTGTTAACCAACCACAAAAGACTTCAGCATCTTCTGCTTTCTGTTGCAGTGAAATTATTAGCTTGAACTGGACGTGCCTCTGATGTCACGAATAAATGTTAAATAGAATAATTATTACTTCAGGATATTTGTTGACTACATGGAACCTATCAGTTACTCAAATAGTTGTGACCATTTGTAGATGTGAAGTGTACTTGGCTTGAAATTTTCTGCACGGTTGCAAATACTTTTATAAAAAGGAAAAAAGAACATTTTAGAGCTGGAATTGCATTTGTATGTTGATGTCATTTGGAATAGTCCTAGTCTTCCACCTTTTTAATGATTTTTAATTATTGTATGAATGTTCAGAAACTTCCTTTGGATTTTCTGCCTGTGCATGTATTTTTTTGTTCTGGGTTGTGTGGTTTGGTTGTTGGTTGTTTGTTTTTTTTCCTTCTCCACATAAATGCAATGGTCTCACATTTTTTTCTTGGTGCCTAGATAAATGGCTACATGGTGCACATTCAGCTGTAGCTGCTCTCAATCTGGTATGTGCGTGTGATGCTCCACACAGCTATGTCAGAAACATTCCATTTGAGTTTTTTGGTCTTTAATGAACTAGGACAGACACAGGAAGTGCCTCTATTTTTTTTTTTTTTCATATTTATTCGCAATTAACTCAGCTTGCTATATGTCTTTGTATGTCTTCTAGTCTTTGGGGGTTTCAAGGGAAAATCAATGGGAAGCTATACCATGATAATTCTGTGGTTTATCCTTTTTTTTTTTTTTAATAGGATATGTGTACTTTACCCATTAAAATAGATAAGACACAAAAGATTTATGAGTATTTGGGGGAAAATTCCATGTTTTGTGGCTGGGTTTATGTGGCTTGCCTGCTAGTCATAATAATTCCATAGTGAATTATATGTAGAGGGTTAAATGCAGCGACCTGTTGCTATCTTAGCAACTATGAATACAGTTTTTTATGCAGGACCGCTGTTCCGATTTCTTCATAAGGAATAAATTATTTTTTAAAGAATTATGTTTACAGTCTTTCTCTGTGTGCTAAGCCTCCCCCCCATGTGTGTCTATATGCATACCTGCACACACACACGTCATCAGTCATGCTGGCACAACAGATAACAAATAATTGCCGTCATTAGTGAACAATGTTATTGTGTTATCTGTTTAATTAACAGATATTAATTCACTGTAATTTTACAAGGTCAAGATAATATAGGGAGTATATTTTTTCTTAACCCAAAGAACATCAGTTGTGTTAACGTAAAGAGAGGATAACTTTAAGAATTACAAGTTTTAAGGATCCAGCTTAGGAAATGCACAGTGGAAGTTAGAAGCCTGTGCAGTCACAGAGCGCCAGCATCATAGGAACCACAGAGCTGGTGGTGGGCTACCTTGCGTGACTGAGTACTGTGGTGGATTGATAGACACGAAGACGAGCATGTGCACTGTGCAGAGGAACAGCTTAGATACACAGAGGTATGCTATGGAAGAGGCAACCAGCCTGTTGAGAATTCATATGCCAAAGAGTTGCAGAGATGCACTGCGGATTTCATTTAGCACTACCTTTTAGGTTCCACCTAAAACACTTCTTACAATTTGAAGTCCTGAGTCTGATGATTTTAGATGTGCAGTAAGTCAATTAAGCTTGGGACTTAAATAATTAAAAAATCAAAATTAGTTGGATATGAAATATTAGAACATCACTAAAATGTATTTTAAAACTTTTTAATGTAAACCCCTCATTTTTTTCATCTATTTAGTTTTGAATTTATCACAGTAAATGCAACTGTGGTGGGTTTGTGAGAAATGAAACCATCAGGATTTGGATTCCAGAAATCTTGCTCTCCTTGGGATGAAGCATTCTAACAGTGCTAGAAAGAAAATCACTTTCCTGCCAACTGAGGCAGGTTGTTTATCTAAACAGTGGTGGCAAAATAAAAGTAAAAGGTTAAAGTGACAATACACGTGAATTATAAGAAAACTCAATTACTGAGGCTTCTCCTGAGCAGCAGAAAGTGGCTATGGGGATGCTAATTTTCAAGTCTTTGAAACTTTGAATAACAGAAGTGCCTGCTACCAGCTCCAAAGCAGGACGCGAGGGTACGAGGCAACACAGTGACAGCATCCCTCTAACTTGCTAGGCGTCTCGCGGCTTTTCCTAATGGAGCGGCCCTGGGTTGCCACAGTCTCCAAGCGGCAGCGGCCGCGGGGGGGACCCTTCGCTTCCCGGCGGCTTCAAAGGGGCGCTGCGGCTCGCCTTGTGTCCCACTGGATGGCACTGCTGATCTACATCAGCCACTGATGCTGTCCAGGCAGCATCCCTACAACCTTTGCCAAAATTGCTTCAAGTACTGTTTTACTCCCTTCTCAGATACGGCAGCAAGCAGATGCAGTTATAGAAAAACCTATGAGAAAATCGACGTGTTTCTCAAAGGCTTATAGACAGGGGATGTGCAGCCTCTTCTTTTAATCTGGTGGGTACCAATATCGATTTGTATGGTGGGATGAGTACTGCAGAGAATACCTGGAGTCACTGCCAGGAATGTATGGAAATAGTTGCTGGCATCACTGCAACGTGATTGATGCTTTAGTCTGTGATATATTTTGTCTTTTGTGCCATTTTAACAGTAGTGGTTCCAGATGAGATACTCTCCTTATGTACAAGAGTAAAGAAATATTCTTGAGCCAGTTACAGAAGGTGATATTATAGCTAAAGCTTGTGCTTGAATCTCAGGCCAGAGGATGTTTGCGCGCAGGCTGCTCTCAGTTCCCTTGGGAGGATGAAACTGCAAATCAAGAATGTAGGTAGGCGTATAGCAGAGATGTTCAATGGGTGAGACAGAGAAAACGACAAAACACAGTGGATGTGGCTAGAAGGGTATATTTAAGAACCAGTGAGATTAGATTATCTCCCACGCTAGCTTACTCTCTCTACAACATTACATTTGCTATGTCCACCCTTCCCAGCAGGGAGGTCACAGCTGGTTCAGGGTCAGGCAGAAAGTCCTGTCTGTCTCTGCTGTGCAGCTGCTCACAGGTACCAGTCAGGGCATTACCGGGCAGGTGCTCCAGCCTTTTAACCATGTTAGTGGCCCTTTTCTGGCTTTTCTCTGGTTTACTCCTCACATACTGCAGGCTTAAAACTGGACAACCTGCTCCACGTTCAGACCCACAAGTCCTGTGCAGAGAAGAATGAACACTTGTCCTCAACGTAGCCCAGTATGTGGTTAGCCTTTCTCACTGCATGGGCACACTGCTGAATCCAGTTCCACTGGTCCACCGGGAGATCCAGTCCCTTTTGCAGAGCTGCTCCCAAACTATTCAGTCCCTGACCTGCATTGATGCACACTGTGTTCCTTCCCAGATGCAGGACGTTGCATTTGTCTTTGCTCAACATCTGGAGGTTCCTGAAGCACCTGTTGGCCCATGGAACGCACACTTGTGATATCTCTGGCTGTCCTTGCACGAGGAGTCTAGTATCTCTGGGAACACTGGCCCTGCACATGACAACATGCAGAATCAGTCACCTAATAGAAGAGGAAAAAGGTGTTCAGTCTTTTCCTGAAGCCTGAAATCAATCAAGTCATCTGCTCCATCAAAAAAGTTGAATAATACTAGTCTTAAAGCCTCAAAACAAATTCCTCCATTGTTTGGCAAACCAGTGGGAGACAAGAGCTGCAAGTATGAAAGGCTGATATTGTCCCAGAAGAGCATTTCACCAAGCTCTGAAAAGTGTTGCATTGTGAAATGATCCTGGTGACAACCCGGGAACACCTATTGTATTCATTAAATTATTTCATACTGCTCTTTGGAAAGTGATAACAATAAAATAAACTCTTCTGTTTGTTTTTGGGAATGACAATCAAGGAACGGAGGTAGGTAGAGAGTAACTGAGGGACTGAGGGCTGTATTTAATCAATAGTGTTCTGTTGATAAAGGGATATCATTTTGGTGTGGTATCTTTCATATCTTCCCCACAGACTTGAATAATGAAGGCATTTCCACAGCCTGATGTCAGGGGACACTTGTTCCACAAATGTGAACATATAAGGGCTACTCTCCAAGAAAAAAAAACAAGTCTTTTTCCTCTACTCTGAATCAAATCCAGCTTGTCTTTTGTGAAAGGCTGTTACACAAGTTTCCTAAAGAAACAAATCTTGAAATAGCAGTTGCTTAGAGGTTTCTCCCTTAAGACTGATGGTGTTCACATCCAATTACCTTTGAAAATCATCTTTCTTCATTTTAAATTTTGTGGAGATTTAAAGAATTGTCCGTACCTTTAATTCATATGAAAGCAATAGTTTAAATTTGACCTGTGTATGTGCTACACATTACATTCTGTGGGATAAATTATTGTGAATGTTGTC